GACTCAATGTCCCATAGCTCCCTCCTGTCTGTGTCACCCTATGCTGGGAGGGACAGACTCCATGTCCCATAGCTCCCTCCTGTCTGTGCCACCCTGTGCTGGGAGGGTCAGTCTCCATGTCCCATACCTCGCTCCTGTCTGTATCACCCTGTGCTGGGAGGGACAGACTCCATGTCCCATAGCTTCCTCCTGTCCATGTCACCCTGCGCTGGGAGGGACAGACTCTGTGTCCTATAGTCCCTTCCGGTCTGTGTCACCCTGTGCTGGGAGGGACAGACTCCATATCCCATAGCTCCCTCCTGTCTGTGTCACCCTGTGCTGGGAGAGATGGACTCCATGTCCCATAGATCCTCCTGTCTGTGTCACCCTGTGCTGGGAGGGACAGTCTCCATATCCCATAGCTCCCTCCTGTCTGTGTCACCCTGTACTTTGAGAGACGGACTCCATGTCCAATAGATCCTCCTGTCTGTGTCTCCCTGTGCTGGGAGAGACGGACTCCATGTCCCATAGATCCTCCTGTCTGTGTCACCCTGTGCTGGGAGGGACAGTCTCCATATCCCATAGCTACCTCCTGTCTGTGTCACCCTGTACTGGGAGAGACGAACTCCATGTCCCATAGATCCTCCTGTCTGTGTCACCCTGTGCTGGGAGGGACAGTCTCCATATCCCATAGCTCCCTCCTGTCTGTGTCATCCTGTACTGGGAGAGACGGACTCCATGTCCCATAGCTCCCTCCTGTCTGTGTCACCCTGTGCTGGGAGAGACGGACTCCATGTCCCATAGATCTTCCTGTCTATGTCACTCTGTGCTGAGAGGGGCACAAGCTATGTCCCATTGCTCCTTCCAGTCAGTGTCAAGGAAGGACATGTTCTAATTATATATTGTCGTTATTACTGTCTCTATGGTATCATATATTTGTAGCATTCAAGGTGAACTTGCTGTATCAGCATAGGGAGTGTCCCACTTTCAGGTAAAGGAGAACCGAACAAGGAAGCCATTAGCTTGTAACAAAGGTTTTACTTGTGACCCCAGAATAAGGCCACATCCACTCTCTGTTGCACAAGAGTTAAAGAGTTCAGTGTCCTCAATGGCAGTCACCTAGTAATTATACAAATTATCATGAGGTAACAGAAACAAAACAGAAAGTACACTCCTGCCTTGCACGCCATCCACTATATAGGACATTGACAGAATACAGGGTCAGGGGCACACACAGCTAACATACCAACACAAGGACAAAGTAAAACACTACAAGGGACGCAAGGGGGGATGCACTCGAAATGTCTGGCTTTTTAACGCAGACAATTAGATTTCACTCATTCACTTCTCACATTACTTCCCCTTTCATCCGACCTCCTGTCCTTCACTTTCCTCTGTGTCCCCTTCAACTACCTCCTCTCTGACTCTATACACAGCCGGTCAACATCCACTCCAACTGCCTTCTCTCTGACTCTATACAAAGCCTGTCAATATCCACTCCAACTGCCTTCTCTGTGACTCTATAAACAGCTGGTCACCATCCACTCCAACTGCCTTCTCTCTGACTCTATTCACAGTTGGTCACCATCCACTCCAACTGACTTCTCTCTGACTCTATACACAGCCGGTCACCATCCACTCCAACTGCCTTCTCTCTGACTCTATACACAGCCGGTCACCATCCACTCCAACTGCCTTCTCTCTGACTCTATTCACAGTTGGTCACCATCCACTCCAACTGACTTCTCTCTGACTCTATACACAGCTGGTCACCATCCACTCCAACTGCCTTCTCTCTGACTCTATACACAGCCGGTCACCATCCACTCCAACTGCCTTCTCTCTGATTCTATACACAGCCGGTTACCATCCACTCCAACTGCCTTCTCTCTGACTCTGATTCTATACACAGCCGGTAACCATCCACTCCAACTGCCTTCTGTCGGACTCTATACACAGCCGGTAACCATCCACTCGAAATGTCTGGCTTTTTAACGCAGACAATTAGATTTCACTCATTCACTTCTCACATTACTTCCCCTTTCATCCGACCTCCTGTCCTTCACTTTCCTCTGTGTCCCCTTCAACTACCTCCTCTCTGACTCTATACACAGCCGGTCAACATCCACTCCAACTGCCTTCTCTCTGACTCTATACACAGCCTGTCACTATCCACTCCAACTGCCTTCTCTCTGACTCTATAAACAGCTGGTCACCATCCACTCCAACTGCCTTCTCTCTGACTCTATTCACAGTTGGTCACCATCCACTCCAACTGACTTCTCTCTGACTCTATACACAGCCGGTCACCATCCACTCCAACTGCCTTCTCTCTGATTCTATACACAGCCGGTTACCATCCACTCCAACTGCCTTCTCTCTGACTCTGATTCTATACACAGTCGGTCACCATCCACTCCAACTACCTTCTCTCTGACTCTATACACAGCCGGTCACCATCCACTCCAACTGCCTTCTCTCTGACTCTATACACAGCCGGTCACCAGCCACTCCAACTGCCTTCTCTCGGACTCTATAAACAGGTGTTGTATCACCTCCAGTTGCTTTTCTCTGACACGCAACACAGCCCTTCTATCCTCTCCAGCTGCCTTCTCTCCGACTTCACACACAGTCCTTCTATCCCTCTAACTGCCTTCTCCATGACTCCACACACAGCCCTATCTTCTTCAGCTACCATACCTCTCTCTTCCCATTTCTCTGTGTACAACCTTTTCTATTCCCTCCACTTGCTTCCAATCCTTGTCCTTTTTATGATCATTCTATCTATAGCCCCAGCTCAGTCCCCCCCCCCACCACCCTAACATTCCAACTGTCTGTCTTTCTCTTAGTTCCCAAGTACAGTCTCTATCTAACCTTCTTACTCCTTCTCTCCACCCTTTACCCAACACATTACCCTTCTCCCAACTGCTTCCTATACTTACCCATATCTCTTCTCTCCATCCACCTTGTGTCCCTGTTGTTTTCTCTCCTCTCCCTATCCCCCTGTACTTCTGTTCCCTCCCGATCCACCACACGTCCTCATCATTCCCTTTCCTCTCCATCCATCATTGGACGGTGTATGTGTAAGGGGTGCTTTTTGGACAATGTGTAGCTGAGGGGGTGAGCTGTTCGGGGATATATTGGTTGTTGGTGTTCTATGTTAGAGAAAGGGTTTTAGGGCTCCATTCTTCCAATGCCCTAATTGGATGGGTTTCAGCGTATGTGATATTGCTATCAGTCCCAAACTTGGTGGCGCTGGGGAGGGAACTATCCGTTATGTGGATCAACCTCTGATAGTTTCACCTTTCACCACATCTTGGCTGATGTTTGGGGAAACTGCTAGACGTGATATGACCACTCTGGACGTATGAGCTTTATGAGGGAGGGAGACCAGCGGATATACCCTGGCAGAGTACGGGAGCTCTGTTACAGCCTTGTACTCCTCTCCATCCACCTCATCTCCCTGACCTCCCATCTCCTCTCCATCCAACAAATCTCACTATCCTTCTTTCCACCTATCTTGTGTTTCTATAATTTTTTCCCATCTCCCTCTCTCCCCACCTCTATTCCCTCTACTTCACTTTCCTCTCCATCCACCTCTCCTCCGTCCCCTTTTAGTTCTCATCTACCTGCTCTATCCTTTCTTCTATATCCACCTTATCACCCAGTTCTTCTCTTCCCTATCCATCCACCTGCTTTCTTTGCTATTTCCCTCCTCTCTGTTCACCTCTCCACCTTGCCCACCTCTCTATTCTATCCATGTGCAATCCTTACCCTTTAATTTTCTACTGCTGTCTCTCCATGTCCTATGTTCCCTGCTCTATACTATCCTTCTTTCCTATGCACTCCACTCCCTCTCTATACAGAACTGAAAATGGTTTTCACCTGAATTTAAAATGGATTGCTTGTAACATCAATGTCTAGCTGTGTAAACCCAACTATTAAAAACAGTTTATATAATACAGAGCTCCGAGCAGGGTGATAAGAGGTGACAGGTGGTGACACGTGCGAACAGGCCAGTCCTACTGGATGCCAAAGCTGGAATCTGAGGAATGAAAAGTTTGGCACATAATGACCTCTCTGGAGAAGGTGCGGCACATCCGGATTCCAGAGGGTGTTGGATGCCGGAGGACAAGGAGTAGCTAAACACTGACAGGGAAGAACTTGACAGCACAGAGTCCAGTACCCGTCCCATGTAGGGAACACCCATACACTTACACAGAGAACACAGGAAGATCTAAGCCCTCATACAGAGCTAGCATGTGGAGATTTACAGGGTACAACGTTATAAGTCCACATGACCTTTTTATTTACACTTATAACTGACCCTCTTTAGGTGTACTTTCAGGGCAACCTATAAGTGATAAAGGGATGCCACTGAGAGCAAGCTGGCTAGCACAAAATATCATACCACCGACTCTTCTCCCCTATATAGTCCAATTTATGGCAGTTTTATTGTTGAGCATTTTTCGATCTTTGTGATTTGATCCAATGTTCCAAATTAAAACATAACAAATGTAAACAGAACACTAATTATATCTGAAGTATGCGCTTGCGTGCTAAACCTTGTTGGCGCTTTATAAATAATAATAATAATGTTTTTACCATGTGTCTTTTATAGCTACAGATACGCTTAACATTTTTAAGGGGGTTATATGGTCCCCAATCCCCATCGTGCTGCCCCCAGTCCCCACCATAATGCTGTCCCTGGAGCTCCCTGTAGTATGAATGTACAGTAGTGCTGGTATGGCCATGGCTGGCTCCATCCTGCCTCCCATGGATATCATTTATTATTCTCCCTGCATTTCCCTTACAAGAAGCAGCAGCCCTGGTCTTTCCCTGTAACCTTCACCCCCCCCCCCCCCCCCTCTCCTGTTTACAAGCAGCACGAGTTTCCTGGCAGTGACGTCACGCGCACGCCCCCTTTCCCCCCTCGCTCTGCCAGGCTCGGCCCCAGTGACGTCAAAACTCAGCCGGCTCGTCCAATCGGCGCGCGGGACGGCGCTTCCGGCAGGCTGGCTCGCCATATATAAACTAAAACAACTGCCTCCTGCTTCTACTGTCACAAGTGAAAGAGTCACGGAGCGGGCTGAGCGCGAGGAACAGCTGGGGCTGCAGAGCTGACACTCATCTGGAACCGCAAGAGCTGACACTCTATGAAGAAATCTATCCTGGGACACAAGAGCTGACACTCCATCCAGAACCACAGGAGCTGACATTCTATACTTGGCCACAAGAGTTGACACTCATCCAGAACCACAAGAGCTGACACTCTAATCTGGGCCACAAGAGCTGACACGCCATCCTGGGACACTAGAGCTGGCACTCCATCCAGAACCACAGGAGCTGACACTCATCCAGAACCACAAGAGCTGACACTCTAATCTGGGCCACAAGAGCTGACACGCCATCCTGGGACACTAGAGCTGGCACTCCATCCAGAACCACAGGAGCTGACACTCATCCAGAACCACAAGAGCTGACACTCTAATCTGGGCCAGAAGAGCTGACACTCTATCCAGGACCACCTGTCAGCCCCCACTACCTCCCTTCCATGTGCTCCAAGATGGAGCAGCCCTTCTACCACGATGACTCCCTGCTGTCTGCCTACTCCCGCCCTGACGCCGGGCTCCTGAAGGGCCCCCTGGGGCCAATGTCGGACTCCTACCGTGTCCCCAAGCACGACCTGTCCTACTACCCCAGCCAGGTCTCCCCGTCCTCCCTGCACTCCGCCCCGGCCAGTCTGAAGATGGCAGCCCCGGAGCTGGAGAGGCTCATCATCCACAGCGGCCCCGGGGTCATCAATGGGCCGGGCGCTGGACAGCTCTACTGTGCCCACCGCGGAGGGGGCATGACGGAGGAGGAGGAGGGCTTTGTGGACGGCTTCGTGAAGGCTCTGGATGACCTGCACAAGATGAACAGAGAGGGGCCCCCCAATGTGTCCCTGGGGGCCGGGACTGGGCCCATGGGTGGTGGGGTAGCATCCCAAGCCAACAGCATCTATGGAGACACTGCAGTCTACACCAGCCTGGCCAACTACCACCCCAGCTGCTACAGGCAACCCTCAGCCACCATCAACTACCTGCCCCAGGGGCATGGGGGCTATGGGGTATCTCCCTTCAAAGAGGAGCCCCAAACCGTGCCAGAGGCTGGAGGGAGCAGGTCTGACAGCAGAGACAGCACCCCAGCTCCCATGTCTCCCATCAACATGGAGGAGCAGGAGAAGATCAAGGTGGAGAGGAAGAGGTTGAGGAACCGCCTAGCAGCCACCAAGTGTCGCAAGAGGAAGCTGGAGAGGATAGCCAGGCTGGAGGACAAGGTCAGGGAGCTGAAGAGTGAGAACAATGGGCTGAGTGGCACAGCTGGGGCACTCAGGGAGCAGGTGGAGCAGCTGAAGGTCAGGGTGAGGGAGCATGCCAGGCATGGGTGCCAGCTTCTTCTGGGTAGCAAAGGGCACCAAGTGTTCTGAGAACAGAGATCTGGGACCTCTCAGAAAGACTGACTCTATTCTTGCAGATCTCAGTAATAAGATCCAACAACCCCTGCTTGTAGGGACAGACTGACATTCATGGTTTACTGGATCTTCTGGTGGGGGGCCCTTCCCTCCCCACCTTGCTGCCCCCCACCCCTCCAGTACTGCTGTCATTCTTTCCACCAGCAAAGAGGAAGAAGACTTGCAGAAGATGAGGGAACTCACTGTCCATCAAACTTGGTCCTCAAAGGAAGAAAAAGACTTGAATACTAGACTGTCACCCCTCCCTATGCAGCCAGGTCAAGGAGGTGGTTTAAAAGTTTGCCAGGGACTTAAAATATGCATGTTTACTCCAGTGAGAACTAGATTTGGCACCCCACATGTTTGTGGAATGTGTGAGCACCATTTAAAACTTAGTTCACAAACATGAGGGGTGCCAAGGATAGTGCTTACTATTTCACCATTTGGCATTCAAAGTGTTAATGGTCTCTGTGGGCTTTTCTCTTCCTTAGCACTTAAACTAAACATTGTGTCTTCCCAATTTCTGGTTTTAAGAATAACCAAATGTTTGCAGTTCTATATCTGAAAATAAGGAAGGGTTTGCAAATCATGTGACTGTATCTTGTGAATGGGGGAGAGGGGACTAGCTGGTAATATGGAAAAGGGACCAGTCATCTATTGTCTTTAAAGATCCTATGGATCTCCTAATACACACTCTGGAAAGTGCTGTATGTCGAGATTCTTAGTATGTACACACTGATAGAACATGCTGCACTATATATTAGTATAGAGTATCTTGAATGGTTACTCTTACAGTCTTTACCACAATTTGAGAATCAACTGGATGTCTGTAAAATATATTTTTATTAAATGCAGCAAAGAAAAGGAACAATTTTTTTTATTTTTTAATGTTCGTGGAAGTTTACAAAAATAACACTTTTTATTGTTTGTTTTGAAGCTGGTAGCTCTGTTGAATAGCATTGCAGAGCAGTGTTTTTTCCTGTTCAAACAGAGCCTTTGTTTAACCCCCTGAATGCCAGTGAGGTGGACAGCATCTGACACTACCCTGGCACTCAGAGAGTTCCAAACAAAATCCGCTTTTATTTTATTTTTTTTCTTATGCGTGGGGTTTTTTTTTTCTGCTGGTATCGGAAAAATCCCCAGTTAAATGTTACGTATGTATTTAAAGAGAAAAATATGCACTCATTAAAAGGTACTTTCAGAAATCTCAGATTTCATTTTTTTGTTAGTGTTTCTTGAAAGTGCTGATTTTGGGAAATAATAAAAAATATATATTTTTATGTTGGGAAAGTAAAAATTGTTTTTTTGTTTTTGTTTGGTTTTATACTGCAAATGTAAAATGACTGCCTCTGTGCAGGCTATGTGCTGTACAATTTTATATATTGTTTTGTTTTCGTATTTAAGTAAAGGATATTGTATAAAACAGAAAGTGAGTGTGGTTTCTCTGGTTAAATTATATTACTTGGTTGTTAAAAAAAAATAAAATATATATATATATATATATATAAAATATATTTCCTGGTTAGATGTATTGAGAAATTATACAATACATTTGATTATAAAATACAAATTATACACTACATGAGTCTCCTGGACTAGCACACTATATATTAATGTTTTATTTATTTAGCTTTTATTTTTTTAAATTACTATGGGTACAGTTAGAGTATTTGTTCACTAAACAGATAAGAAAGGGGAAAAAGATAAAGGAATTACAACTTTTAGGAAAACAGTAAAGTTGGACACACACTTCAGATACTTAGGTGAAAATTGCCGTTTTCATTTTTAATTGTCTACAAGTCTCAGTTAAGGAACACAATCTATTATGGCACAGTACAATACGTCTTCTGTGCTATAGGTTCAAAATAAATACAACAATTGTAAAAAAATTGCTACATTTGTTGATTTTTATTTTTTATTTTTTTTATTCACTAAAGAATGCATTTTAGTGAATTTCAAATCAGAAATAAAAAAATAAAAAATTCTCTAAACTTGCTGTTGCTACAGCCTGGCTATTTAAACCTGAATTTTGCAATTCAACTCTCAATTGCAATTTGGTGTTCAGCGAATATATCTTCACCGTTTCTTTAGTGTTTTTCGGTATGACCGATGTTGTTATAAATGAGTACAACTACTGGTCTAAGTGTTAATTATACACATTTCATGGAATGAGTTAAGAACTGTTTCACATTGGTTTGGTCGAAAAACTCATTTTCATTTTAAGTCTTTTACTGAAGGGACACAAATATACAAGTCCCAGGAAATCCTGTAGATTTATGACACCTAATATGATCCTCACAAATTTTTGTTTTATAAAGACTGGACCCATAAACGTGAAATCTACAGATAAGTAGGAAAAGTAAATACACAATTCTACTTGGAAACTAGGCAATCTAGCCTCGTTTACATCAGTCTCTAAAGAAAAAGTAAGCTAAGGGGGATTTCATGAATCAGTGCGTATATTCCCCTTATGCATGAAGGCCATAGAGTTCCAATTCTCAGAAATGTCTAATTCAAACGAAGAAATGTCTTCCTAACTGATTTCTGATAAGTTCAGCCTCATAACGTTTCCATTTTGCCTGTGAACTATTATTGTCTATCTTTTGAGAAATGTAACCGTGAGAAGGTCACTATGATCTTTAACAAACCTCATCACTAAACTGGAAAGGTTAAAAGGTACACTACTTTTAAGCAGAAACACTAAAATATATTATCTCACATTTGTATTTGTCTTATCTTGACGAAAGGTTTATGAGTATAAAAATGCTTGACCTGCAAAGACAATTTATTAAATGTGTATATACTTATATTTATTAAGTGTGATTCTCCTTTAAACTTTATTTTAACATGTTAGTCTCAATGAGTCAGGAATGATAAGGGACTGGCTATATAGGGACACAGGACACCATTGATGGCAGTTGTGTCTTAGTATAGCCAGGAACAGATGAAGTCTTGGGATGCTCTGAACATAGCTACAATGGACAATGCATTGTGATGCAGAATGGGACCGTGTCTTTAAATGAGGGTGAGAAGCCAATTTTCAGTATTCTGTATAATTCCATCTTTAAATGCCTTTTAATAGTTAAGAAGTTCTATTGTGTAGAGAAAGCAGCTTTTAGGACAGGGATAGGCAACTTGTGCAACTCCAAGAGACTACTCCTAATATGCTCAACCAATAGACTGGCTGGATTTAAGGAAATTGGGGTAGGTCCAATGCAATTGCGTGATTAAAATGCCTCTCCAAAATTGTAGCATCACCTACACTACAATCTGGTCTGGGGTTAAAGCCCTTTTTAACTAGCGTGGTGTAGTTTGAGGCTTTACTATATCATTACTGTAAAACCCATCCTTTGGAAACTCCCTGTCGATAGAGGATTAGGGTTTAGACATACAATGTATAAACACAGCTAACTTTGGAGTATGTGCTAATCAATAACAATGTAAAAATAGACGATCAAATCGTGTTAGAATAAGTCCTTTATACGCACAGGTTGGGTAGGTATGCTGCTGTTTTGTGTAAAATTATTATGAGTAAATAAGTTATAATTATAGTGATAACTATTTGGACTCATCCTTCATTTATTTTTATTTTGCGGACTTTCCTTGTGTTATGTTTCTTTTATCTATTAGGATTGTTTAATAAAACTTCAAGCTGTAGTGAAGTGAAAACTATTTATCTAAATTTAGACAATATTAGCTAAATTGGAAAAATAAATTACTCCAACTCGCCTAAAGTCACAGTTTTGAAATTTCAAACCTAATTTTTGCAATTGATTTTTCAATTCACTACAATTCGTTTTCAGTGAATGAGATCCCACACAGCTGTTTTATTTGTCGATTTCATGAACTGTAAAACAAACCAGGGGCAGTTAGATGGTTACACAAAAAATAACAATCAGCTTACTGAAGTGGTAATGGTGCAAGGGCTAGCCTGCGCAGCTTTTCATCTTGAAAAGCTCTCAGATTTGAGATTATTTTTTTAACCAGGATGTAACCATCACCCAGCCTGAAAACTGTCCATGTGTTTATGTTTTGCGAGCAGAGTATGTAAGCAATACGGACACCTGAGGCCGCATGCACACAACGCAGCTCTGCCGAGAATTTTAGATTGTAAGCTCACGGGCTATCTAGCTAAGTACTTTGTATAAAATAGCTTAAATGGCTAGAACTCCGCTTACAGGCAGGGCTCTATCTACCTTTTGTATTTGTCTGTTTAGATTTTATGTCCTCCACTAATTGTACAGCGCTGCGGAATCTGTTGGCGCTTTATAAATACCAGAAATGAATAAATAAACGTGCCATAGGTCACCAAAAAGTGAAATGGGCTCTGAGTAAAACAATAATGGCTGCTGTATGGCTGGTTTCAGTTTGCAGAGCAATTCTAATCATCCTATGCTCGTGAATGAAACTGTTTATCGTATAAATTCTTATTACCGGGGTCTGTTTGCACGACAGGAGTTGCCTTCTGAAAGACCCCTTAAACCGTGCACCAAGGTAAACTTGGAATGGTCTGTTCTTTTTGGTTTTTACTTTTTCTATTTTTTGCAATATTTTTTAAGCTTCATTTTTGTAATGCAATAGAAAATAGTGAAATAATTCTTAACCTTTTGTTTCCTTTCCTCTTGTAGTGAATCACACAAACATTTACCAGCCAAAACACGAGTCCCAAAGATTTATAGAAACATAGAATGTGACGGCAGATAAGAACCATTCAGCCCATCTAGTCTGCCCAATTTTCTAAATACTTTCATTAGTCCCTGGCCTTATCTTATAGTTAGGATAGCCTTATGCCTATCCCACGCATGCTTAAACTCCTTCACTGTGTTAACCTCTACCACTTCAGCTGGAAGGCTATTCCATGCATCCACTACCCTGTCAGTAAAGTACTACTTCCTCATATTATTTTTAAACCTTTGTCCCTCTAATTTAACACTATGTCCTCTTGTTGTGGTAGTTTTTCTTCTTTTAAATATAGTCTCCTCCTTTACTGTGTTGATTCCCTTTATGTATTTAAATGTTTCTATCATATCCCCCTGTCTCGTCTTTCCTCCAAGCTATACATGTTAAGATCCTTTAACCTTTCCTGGTAAGTTTTATCCCGCAATCCATAGAAAGTTAATCCTATATTTGCGGGAAGTATTCAAGCCAGAAGCTGTAACTCTGCATGCTGTTTGCCTAAAAAAACAAACAAGCAGTCTGCTGACATCACCAGAAGTGGTAGCCTGATCCAATCACAATGCGTCCCCATAGGATTGGCTGAGACTGACAAAGAGGCAGATCAGGGGCAGAGCCAGCATGATTCAAACACAGCCCTGGCCAATCAGCATCTCCTCATAGAGATGAATTGAATCAGTGAATCTCTATGAGGAAAGTTCAGTGTCTGCATGCAGAGGGAGGAGACACTGAATGTTTGGATGCATTTAAGGCAGCCATGACCCAGGAAGGATCTCTAACAGCCATCTGAGGAGTGGCCAGTGAAGTTATCACTAGGCTGTAATGTAAACACTGCATTTTCTCTGAAAAGACAGTGTTTACAGCAAAAAGCCTGAAGGTAATGATTCTACTCACCAGAACAAATTCAATAAGCGGTAGTTGTTCTGGTGACTATAGTGTCCCTTAAAGCCTAAGTTTGCAATTCAATTTATAATTCACTCTTTAGTGAATGAACATTTATTTTTTTCTTATTTAGGGCTATTCAAAAATGGCAATATTGTGCCCAAAGTAGGCAAGCTATGATTATACCCGAGTTAGAGAATTGTTCCCGATTAGTAATTTTAGCCTAGACTTTGCCATTTGGATTTCAATTCCCCGCAATTCAGAATTTATTGAATAAGCCCCATTGTAGTAAAACTAAAAGGGCCAATCTCTATCGAAAACATCACATTTTAGCAAACTGAAATCCAAATTGCAAAATGTAAACTAAAATATCGAAGCTGTGAATATACCTGCTTTGGAGATATTTTGCCTAAATGTTGCCATTTCTAGTCTCTAGACCAGTGATGGCAAACCTTTTTGAGCCCGAGTGCCCAAACCGCAATACATGCCAACTTTTGTTTCCTCAAAGTGCCAATACGGCAATTAAACCTGAATACTGAGGTTTAAATTTAGAAAAAATAACTCGTACAGTTGTACGAACTAATTAACAACTTTTGTTTTAAAAGATGAACACAACAGAGTTCAATGATACAAATTTTAAATAATGATACTAATAAATATAAGCTTAAATTTATCTATTTATATCTCCAACAAATGCAATACATACACACACAGACTGCTAAATACATACACACACACAGACTGCTGAATACACAGACTAGGCATGTGCATGGGGACAATTTTCGGTTCGGTTCGGCATTCCGAAATTCAGGATTTTCGCAATTCGGCACTTCAACACTTCGGAATTTCGGGACTTCTATTGCAGCCGCTTAG